TTATTCACATCCAGTAACTTCTTAGGATTAATTATGGAACTCTGAAGATAGAAGGGTGATACCATTACCCTGTTTTTAATGTTTTCCATTGCCTGTTTGTTTAACCCACATTACTCAGTGCTGATAAGGAATTTTGGCAAAGGACACTTAGCTTTTTGAAGTAAAGATAAAGACTCAGCATGAGACACTAAGCTTGGAACATTTTTAAAAAATATATATTTATTGTTTTAAACTTGTAAAGATTTACTGTAAGATATGGGGGGGGGGAAGTGAATGAACTGAAAAATCTGAAATAGCAGTTTTGGCATTTTCAGGTTTTCAATATGTATCTGAACATGAAAAAGAACACGATTTTCTTTTCCTTTTTGATCTCCACTACAATCAAGTCAGAACGGTTACTTTCTTGTTGACTTTGTTTCCATATCTATGTGCCTACCTGTCTGCCTAAGCTATCTGATCTTGCTGCCTTCTATATATCTAAGAGGCCATAATGCAACTTCAAGGGAAAAATCGATGTAGAACAATGAGGGGCCTGTCTATGCTAGGTGAAAGAGGTTACAAGAAACAGTTGCCTGTAGTGTCTTGAACTTGCATGGCTTGCACAAAGCAATACGTGCAGCTGCTGTCTCAGGCATTTTGCAAGCATTGAAGTGTCAGTTTATTGGAACCCTTGTGAAGAGGACTCTAGCTCAGGTCAAGCTGAAGTGTCGTGATCTACAATAGTTTCTCAGTGTGCAATAGAAATGGTAGAAATTAGAGCTGTACTTTTTCAGCAAATGGCTTTCCCATTGGGTTTCCATCCCATATTGTGATGCTTCACATCTGTAGCAAAAAAAAGTTGATTCTGCCCATAAGCCCCAGCACTCTGCAAGCAATTTTCTATTCCATATTATTTTCCTCTTGTGCAAGCTACCAGATTCCTTCTCCTGCTGCCACACCACACCACTGATGTTTCTCTTCCCTTGCCTTTTTCCTTTCCATCTTCCCCTTCCTGCTCCTTGCTTTTCTTTTGCTGTGGTAGTTTTGTTTCAGATACCTGTGTTTCAGATTGGCTGGGCACGAACTGTGAGGCCTTTTCTGGACAATGTGTTCAGTGGGCTTCCATTGAGCAAGTACACCTAGTGCATTTAAGAACCAGTGGGTGAAACTCACCCTTAATAGAACTCAGATAGGTTAAAACTCTCAGACATAAGAAATAATTTGACGACTGGTTGCCTACTAATACAGCTCTTACTTAATGGGAGCTAGCTCTGACTGACACCAGTGTAAGTGAGATGAGAATCAGGTCACAAGCATTTTTCTTTACTGGCTTGTGGTAAATGGTACCTCTAGCTATTGAGGGGTGATACGGGGAATTTTCATGCTTCAGAGAACATGTTTGTTTGTCTTTAAAATGACTGCTCTGACTTATTTTAAATTTCAAATAATGTTTTTTCCCTCTCCTTGTCTCAACTTTTCTAGCAGCTTATGCACAAATGTAGTGAGACAAATTCATCAGTCTCTTCCACCCCCCAATACTGATTAGGCTTATACAAGGCAAGGTATTAAAAACACTTTTGTCTGTCACATGGCCACGGGTGAGGGAGGGGGTATTTGCCAGTTGCTAATGGATACCTGAAGTTTTTGTGTATGACCATGAAGAACAGCTTGTGCACTTTCACCTCTGATGTTCTCTGAATAACTTGGGTCTCATTTAGGTCAATAAGGCTTTATCAAAATGTCAGGAGTGAAAAATGTGTCTTGGTGTAAGCTGACTGGTTGTTCCCTCCAGTCACAGGAGTCTATAGAACAATCAATGTTCTCTAAGCTTGTCTGCATGTCATGCAAAGAACTGGATGACAGTAACCATTGACTACATGTCTATTTCATTGTCTTTGGGACAGCCCACATTTGCATACTTGCCAGTGTTCCTGTTATCCAATGAACCGTGGAGGGTCTTTAAAAAAACACACACAACTCCAATGCAAATTCCACAAACAAAAAACACACACATTAAAAAACCCCAAAACAACCCCTCCCTCCCAATTCACAGTCCAGACTTCAGATTTTCATTCTCTTGTTACACACATTTTGATAAACCTATAGTTTTGGTCAAGAAATAGTATTTTTGTTGTTGTGCACAATGTGTTTAACTTTCTGTTTTTTCCTTCCAAATGATACTCCTCCCCCACAAACCCCATTTGGGGATATCTGAACACTATTGTCTCTGGCACCCCATGTGATCTGAGGCCATAGATTCCTTGCTCAAATAGCCTCTTTTGAATAAAAGAAACTGGTAGCTCCCTGCTTAATTATTTGCCATTGTCTTTCACTGAGGGAGCTTCTTTCATAATAGTGATGAAAGAGGCTATATTAGCTTTTTAGGACACAAAAAGATACTAATATAGTAGAGTTTGTTGATTATATCTTATAAACCAATACAATGTCAAAAACAAAATTAACAACAACGTTATTGTATCAGTAATGATTTGCTCTTTTTGTAGTATTGCACTCAGGGTAATGTTTTCATTTTGCAATTCAGTGCCAGTTGAAAATGTAATTAATGAAAACTAAACTAAAAAGGGAATCCTTTTTTATGTGGAATTACTATATCACACCTTGTGTGTATGTCGGGGTGGGGGGGAGGGTTTGGCACTATCTTACAGTGGAGACCCCTTTGCTTTTGCAAACATGGACCTATACAAATGTTTCTCAGTAAAATAGTACTCTGCATAAAACTTCCATCCTGCTTGTTTCTTTCATAATAGCCTGGAAAAAATTTGCTGTTGATGTAAACAGGTCAAGCTCCATATTTACAAATCGACAGATATGGTCACTGTCATGTGATTTTGCTTGAAGTATAGTTGGAGCAGAGGGAGACTATAGACAATTGCAGTCGTTAACCTGCTGCATCTGGCAACAGCTTGCACTGAGCCTGAGACATCAGAACTTGTCAAGCAAAGAGTGAGAATGTTGGCTAGTATCCTCCTGTCTTTTGAAAAGTGTTGTAGTGTCTTCCGTTAGAATAGCTTAGCTTCCAGAGATGAACATTTTAATGCACTATCAGAAGGCGGGGATTTTAGAGTCTATTCCATCTCCCATTGAAGGCAGTGGTGTGAGCCTATAAGAAATAGAAATCTTCCCTTTTCTTCTAGTCTCAGAAGCCTTATTGCTATGCTAAACTTTAAGGGCAAAATCTCATACATACTGAGTTAATGGCAAGATTCCTATTACCTTTGATAAGGCCAGAATTTTACTGTGTTTTAATTAAGAAACCATGCTTGCATGTATAAACTAAAAGGCATGGGGACAGGAGGACATTTATCAGAACTTCTGCTGTTATCATCATCCAGGGGTGCATTATCATGAACTAAAGTAATGGATAAAACCACTGTGTTCTTTTGTATTTATTTTTTACGATCCTTTAGAATTCTGGTCTTTTACCACTTTATGCTTTATGTACAACATGACGTGTAATGTGCGTCTTCAGTGAAAAACCCCATTTTTTATAGATTTCACAGACATTAGGGCTGGAAGGGACCTCATAAGATCATTGGGTCCAGCCCCCTGCCCAAGGTGTAGGAAGTCAGCTAGGATCAAAGGATCCTGGCAAGATAAGCATCCAAATGTTTCGTGACAGTGTCCAGAGTAGATGCTTGCACCACCTCTGGGGGGAGTCTGTTTCAGGCCTTGGGGGCTCGGACAGTAAAGACATTTTTCCTTATGTCCAACCTAAAATGATTTTGCAGGAGTTTATGACTGTTGGATCTTATCCCCTGGGGTGCTCCGGCGAACAGATGTTCCCCCAGATCCAGATGCACACCCCAATATACTTATAGGCTGCCACCAAGTCATCCCTGAGCCTGCACTTCTCCAGGCTAATGAGTCCCATAGCTCACAGCCTCTCTTTATTTGAACTACAGTAAGTTACTCTCCCTTTTGCTTTAGGTAGGAGGATGAAGCCAGTTTCTAACTGAATATGAACTCCAAATAAAGGAATTACAGTACCGTTATTCCTTGCTAGTTTGAAGAAAATACAGCAAACATTACTTCATCAGCTAATTGCCAAAAAACATTGCCTGTGATTTAAAATGGAGAGCAAAATGGACTGAAAAATGTCACTAATTCCAAATATGGCCTAATTCCTTTCCTAAAAGATCCAGAGGGATGTTAGAACTATTGGTTTCATGCATGATATTCTTTGAATTCTACTTTCTTGGGCATTTCAGTTAGAGCACAGTAGTCCCTTGAAATATTTAAAATGGGTCATTCAAGCAGTATAGCTGGGACTCAACTGTGTTTTAAACACACTTCTCAACCAACTCTGTTCTTGGATAAATTCTAAAACTTGACCTCAATTTAGATTCATGATTAAGTTATAGTTCAAGTCTGACTTTACTTCAGAATTGAACCACAGATGAACTCCTGACCCTGACCGAGACTAGTTGATTCTAGGAGAGGGGGGAAAGGATTTCTTCTTAGGTTTAAACCTGCCTGGAAGCTAGATACTTTGTCATATACAATCACCAGATATGTTACTTTTAGCCGTATTGATTGCACTTAGGCTGAAAAAGAATAAGTAAATGGTTGGTTAAAGCTGTTGCAAATGGTATGTATAATGTACCTTTTCCGGAAATTAGACGTACTAGCAAAATACTTGTCCTATGAATACTGAGTCTATTTGTTTTCTTTGGCTAAGTCAGGCAACTTTCTGTTTGAATTACTGAAGCCAAGTAAATTATGCAGAATGATTTCAGTTTTAGCACATGCCAAAGAGCCAAACTGTGTATTATTATGGTATTTAAACTTACTCTTAATCATATGTCTCATTGCTTGCGGAGTTTCCCAAGTTTCTGTAGTTTCGGTCTTCTTGTTATATTGCATATTTTTTCTCTACCCGAGTTTCAAGTTTCATTTTCAATGCTCCCTAATGTTATCTGAAGAAAAGGAAAAGCAAAAAAAGAAAAAAGAAAAAAAAGCAAACTAGAAAATTAATCTAGTCCCCTATCTGTTTCCTCTAGGAAATTGTATTAGTGGTGTTTTTTGGAACAGAGTATGTCGTTCGTCTGTGGTCAGCAGGATGTCGTAGTAAATATGTTGGAATATGGGGAAGGCTCCGTTTTGCCAGGAAGCCTATTTCGATCATTGGTGAGTATATGTGGTTTGAACAGTTATAACAAATACTAAGAAAAGCTGTGTTTCTGTAAATCCCTTGAATATTTCAGAGGAATTTAAGGTTCCATAATGAGTCCAGCCAAATTAGAGCAAGAGCATTTTTCATGAGCGTTTATATAGATTAGACTGTTCTGAGGAATCTGCAGTGCTGTCAGTTCCTTCTTAAGGAAAAAAAAATCTTTTAACTTGATTTCCTTTGCCAGGAAAGGGATACTTTCCTTTCACAACTGATTTGAAATTTAGCCAAATCTGACAGGGTCTCCTACAGTCCCATCTTCTGAGACAGCCTCAATACCATGTAATAGTTGCAACTTTTACAGTTTTTAAAGACAGAGCTCACTTCCCAGTGCCCATATTATCAATGTTGATTTACATGGCTTTATAGCTGAACCACCTATAACATGCTGGTTAGTGGCAAGTGACTTCATTATCAAGTATTATTATTTGTATGTTAAAATCTCCTTCTTGAGGTGTTCAGTGCTTCAGCAAGTAAATTATTTCTGAATCTTTCTCTTCTGTTAATATTAAAAGTCACAACCATAAGAAATACTAGCTGGGACTAAACAAAATCCCTCCCTATTATGCCTAGGCACAGATACATACAGGAGTAGTAGCGCAGGGGACAGATAGCATAGGGGAGAGGGTTTTAATATGCAAGCAGGGTGATCAGTGTGATGCGACTAATGTCATTTCAATGAAAATTTCACACAAATATTGTATCGTATCGAGGTGATGTACATCATCACGGAATTGTTTGTCCCTCTGTGTGTGTGTGTGTGTGTGTGTGGGGGGGGTATCATAACTATATCCTCCATGTTGGCGGTAAGCAACATACAGCTCTATTTCCCTTTGCATTCAGACTACAGATTCATCTCTCCTGAGACTTACAGCATTGCAAACGCCTAAGCAGTATCAAACTGCTGTCAACCTAGAAAAACAGAACAACCTCCCCTTGCCAACATACACAGTATAAAACTATTTCCTCTTTTTTCCAAAGGGTGGATTTTCTTCTCGAGTTTACCTGGGCCTGAGGCAGTGTTCTGTCCTTGAGCAAGGACCAGTTCAAATTACTGATTACTTGGAAACCCTGAGAGTTTTTTATGCCAACAAGAGCTTTATGCTGTTAGAAAGGGGTTATTTCTGGCTTGCCATTGGGATGCAGGACTTGTTTCCTTCCCTGGTAATTTTCAAGGTACCAGACATTAAATCATGACCATTTCTGGATAGCAAAGCTATTTTGGTTAATTTTTTAAGGCATATAAATATGTTGGTTGTAACTTTTTGTTCCTTTCTAGTCTGGGATAAATTGGATTAATATCACTAAATTACATGGTTTTATAGATGGGAAAATGTGAAAAACATGTACCAGTAAATTAAAAGATTGTAAAATATACAAGTTATATGGAATAGATAGCAGGTTCAGATTGATCTATGGGTTGTGGAGCTTACGTAAATGATTGTATTGATGCTGTATTAAAATGACATGTTACAGTACTTTTGCCACTGTTCTAAAGTGCAGCCTCCTAAAGTGCAATAACATCTTTAAAATATCAGGCCATGCTATATTCTTTTCATACGTTACAAAAGAGATCTTTAGATATAGCCTGGATTTTATTGACTAGAAAATGCCACTCCCCAAAGAGTTAACATATCAACTTTGTTTCTAGTAAAAATTGGTCAATGTTTCACATGAAGCCTCAAACTCATTAGCCTAATTTATTTATTTTTTTCCAGATTTAATTGTAGTTGTTGCTTCAATGATAGTTCTTTGCGTGGGCTCTAAAGGTCAAGTGTTTGCAACCTCAGCTATCAGGTAATAACAAATCAATAACTGAAAAAAATGTCAGTTTTTAAGGGTTTATTAGTATTATGTTTTCCTACTCTTCCCCCTGTTGTTGTACACAGGTTTACATTAGCTTTAATGGAAATTGTTCTGATTTATGTTAGTGGAGCTGAGAATTAAATGTCTTAATTTACTACTCTATCCCCTACCTCACCTCAGTTACAATGATGAAATTACTTATAATGAAGCTAGAGCATCCATAAGCCAGCAGTGATCTATTCAAATTTTATTCAGGTTTATGACCTGGTCTTATAGCTAAAGTATTCTTTATGGATAACCACTGACTTTTTCAAGATTTATACGTAGCATAAAAGGTCTGCTTTCTGCTCTCTGCCCTATTTATAGCTGTGCTCCATGTCTCCTCCTTGACCTTTAAAATGAGATACTACATAAAGGTACAGCAGCAAAGGTGAATGTTTTTTGGGATGCTTAATGCAAAGTAGATTAAGTCTACTGCACAATAGCACAGGTTTTGCTGTGACATGCCAATGCGCAGTAAAATAGGCTACTGCACATTACGGCATCTCATACAGATATACCCTCTTAGTATATTATTTCCCCTGTCCAACTATGTCAGACTTTATGGATTTTTAAATTGTTGTCTTTGTCTCTGATACAAATTTGGCCTCTCCTTTGGAATTTTTGTTATGTTCGAAAGCATGTTGTGCTTCCTCTTTGACAAGACATTCAGAATCAGCAAGGGAATAATTTCTATAATACTCTGTCTGCTTCCAGAAATTCTGCAACATTGGGCATTCCTACTAACTGCCCAAAGGAAAGTTTATTTCTTGTCCACCCAATCTCCCGCTTTAGTCTAACAGTAAGCAGCATAAACAATGGGGGCAGAGGAGTAGTGGAGCTGATAAACTGATGGGAATTATCTAACTGAAGTGATCTGTCTCTCTTAATTTAACTTTCAAAGATGATTTCTCTTCTTTATATGCCTTGTCTTCTATCTTCAGCCTGCTGGAGCCTAACTTATTAAAAAACTGTATTCCAGGGGTATCCGTTTTCTGCAGATCCTGCGAATGCTGCATGTTGATCGTCAGGGTGGCACATGGAGACTGTTGGGATCAGTTGTTTTTATACATAGACAAGTAAGTTAGATTGTGGAGGGGGATGAAATGACACCTCCTGCAGCTATTTCTTACAAAGTCTTGGAGCCCAGGAAAATATTGTGGTGTTGTAAAACACATGAACTCAGGGACATACAATTGATGAATTTCATCCAAATCCGGTTGCCTTCATCAGTTTTAAGGATGAGTAGTAATACCCTTAAGGCTGATTTTTGCCTAAAAACATTTTCAGAACTTGGAGATTTGGGGTCCTCTGACTTTCAGTGAGACCTAGGTACTGAAAGACCAAGTATTGAAATGTGTGTCCAAATATCTTGAAAAATGGGTTCCTGCATGCTCACGTTGCTTTGAAAATAGCATTTTAGATGCCTTTGAAAATTTTGTCCAACAAGAAATAATCCACAGCACACTTACAGGCTCGGCACTATGCTTGCCAGCACCATAACTGAACAAGACCTGGGTGTCATGATTGACAGCAAAATGAACATGAGCTACCAATGCAATGCCATAACTGAGAGAGCTAATCATATACTGGCATGCATCTACCGAGGCATCTCAAGTAAAGTAAAGGATGTCATCCTCCCGCTCTGCTCAGCCTTGGTGAAACTGCAGCTGTAGTAGTGCATCCAGTTCCGGGTGCCACACTTCAGGAAGTACATGGAGAAGCTTGAGAGAGTCCAAAGGAGGGTCATGTGTGTGATTAGAGGCCTAGAGACCAGGTCATATGAGGAGAGGCTGAAATCCTTGAGACTGTTCAGCCTGGAGAAGAGAAGACTCA